CATTACAAAAGTAATAATATTACAGTAGTATATTACGTTTTGCTGTAAGCACTGCAGTCATCGATGAAAATTAAGAGCAGCTCTATTTCGTGCACAGATTTTCAAAAACAACCTGTTTAACGTGAAAAACGTTTCTTCTCATGTTATTCACTATAGGATATGGGCCACAAGAGAAATATTAAGGGAATAATTTAAGACAGATACTGTATATACCATCGTCAGCCTATATTGAAGTAATTTTGTCTCTTGTTGTCTCATAGAATTTGTGCCGTTAATGCAGCATTAGAAAGCTCCGTCAGTTTTTTTACTTTCTCTATAATTGACTGACGTTCACCGGCATAACTCTTGCGCACAGTTTGCGCATTGCTTGCTTGTGTTGCTTGACCCCGCCCCCATAATATCAATCGTTTATAGGCCACATATTAGGCATTTTTTGTATGTTTATTTTTTTAATGTTAATGAAAATGACACCAAAAAAAAGGGAACATCATTAGGAAATCCTTGGGGGGGCTGTGCCGGGGCTAAGCAAGTTTCTGATGGGCCCCGTCAAGCCCCGCCCTAGCGCCGCCACTGATTAGCCTAATTTGTTTTGGCTTGTTTAGCAACTTATATTTTTCATTCTTGTTTTCTTCTGAAACTGTTCAAATTTGCCTATAGGCTAGGTTTTGTGTTTATTGTTTGTACATTATAACATTTCACTTTATTTATAATACTTCTGTGGATATTTTGGTGAAAGTAACTCAAAAGTAGTGTAACGCATTACAATTCAGAGACAGTAATATTGTAATGTAACTAATTACTTTCAAAAGACAGTAACTAGTAATATATAATGTATTACATTTTGGAAGTAACTTGCCCAACACTGCAACTATATATATGTGGCACCACACCAGTGTGAGTAACTGCTTTTATTATGTGATCACTATTGATTTGTCTGTTATTACAGATCTTTTGATATGTACTGAGTATTTATGCATTTTTAACCTACTATAAATCACTGTAGCGTCCACCAGTGAAGGATGTCAAACATACACAACTTTTAGCCAATCGTTAGCATTTACTTCCGAAACTGCAATAATTAAAACACCTATTCAAAAAAAAGAGCGTTCCGATGAAGGTGGTTAAAACAGGACAGAAAGTAGCCTATTACTTATAAATTATGATGTTTTTTATGTAAAAAGCTTGACAACATTATAAGTGGACCTCAAAAAACAGTACACAATAAAAAACAAAAGCAGTTCATGCCCCCTTTAAAGCATTTGGTATCATTAAGTAACAATGAACAATACTTTTACAGCACTTCTTAATATAGAACAATGTTAATTGTAGTTTTTTTTTTGTAAAAAGTTAATTTTATTCAACAGTAAAATCTAAAGTGACAGTAAAGACAAGTTGTTAGAAAATTATTTCAAATAAATGCTGTTCTTTCGAACTTTCTATTCAACAAATAATCCTGATTTTAAAACATGGTTTCCTCAAAAATATTAAGCAGCACAAACAATAAGTAACAATTAATTAGTAATAATATTTCACAATATTACTGATTTTACAGTATTTTTGTACAGTATATCAAATAAATACAGCCTAAATACAGCCAAAAGCACTGTACCAACCAACCAATTGTTGTTCATTATTAGTTGTTCATGATAGTCAATACATGACATAATATTAAGAAATCATATTTATTGCAAAAAAGTGTTACCATTTTATAAATAACTTTTCCATACCGAATGATCATTTTGAAAAAAAAAATCATTGATAATCAACCTTGTCCCCCATCTTGGATTTGTTTTGTTTTGTTTCAGCACATTGCCTTATAGGATTGCCTTCTCTGCAAAGTATTCACTTAATGTTCTGCCTAAGAATTAATCTAAAAGAAGGTATCTCAGATTCCTCGTGGAACAGCCTTCTTGTCGGGAGTGCACCGAACATCTCTTAAAAGGTTGCTTCTGTAGGCAGCTCACTAGATTTTGTAACAGAGCAAAAAAAGGCTGCCGTGCAAGGGTGCTTTTCATGTAGAGTGGCTTTGAAAATACTTCTATCTCTGCAGCGGGCGCTTTGACGAGGGAGTGCATTTATGTACCTTATACTTCTGTATTTGCAGCCAAATGGAGGAAAAAAACATGTGTAAAAGTTTAATCATCTGTGCCCTAGGGCTGGAGAAAGCAGACTGCAACCGAAACACCTGCCTGTGTTAATCACCTCACCTCCTGGAAACAAGCAGAGCAACTTTGCAGGTTCATTAGTGCTATTGCTGTCTGAATAATGCATGCCGGCAACTATCTTAAACAAAGGCCTGCAGACAAATATGATCTCCTTGTGTTTGCATCACCTCACTGAAGTAAAATGGCTATCATAGAACAATAAGATGGATGCACACGTAGGCCATACGAGAGGTGGTGAGATCTGCGGCTCTGTGCATGCTTTCTGTGAATTTTCTTCACGGTATGGTAATTGGGTGAAGTGGACAGAAGTCTCTGTGGTCATTTTACAGAAGCGATTCTAACCTACCTCTCTCTCGCTCCTGGGGGACACAGCGGGGGTTCTGCGGTTCAGGGGATGGCAGTTTGAGAGGTATGAGGAGGAATAACAGAGAAAGGCTGGAAGAACATGACCACTTACCGCTCTTACACGAACTGACGTCAACTAATGGGACCTTATTGTAAAGTGTTACCAATGATTTATATATATAAAATTGTACATACTTAATGACTTTTCCTCAGCTGTAGCATATTTTCTATCACAAACAACAAATTTGCCACTAATAATTTACCCAGTGTGTGAAGAAAACCTTCAAAGTCCAGGTATATATCAGTTGTCAACAGAATATTAACACTTTACGTAAAGCCTTTATGTATAATGCATTATAAATGGTTATTAAAGGGTATAATGCATTATAATTATTCATAATGTGTTTTGTAATACATTATAGCTTGTTGTAAATAATTAAAACTGAATTTAAAATGCATAGTGTAACAATGATTTGATAAGTGTTATCGGGGCTGCATCTGAAAACTGAAAAATGCTGCCTTCAGAGGACACATTTCAAGGTAGGGAGGCATCAAGGCACATCCAAATCCAAAGTTAGCTTCACCTCCTGTCTCATGAGATACCTTCATCTGATCGATTTTTGAAGGCAGGCTAGGCAGCATAGATGTATCTTTCACTGTCTTTGATATCCCACAATCCTGTGTGTTCCATTCAGTATTATAGTAATTAAATATCCGTTTAGTTATCACCAGAACTTGTTCTGTTTTATTGTAGATCATTAAACAGTTACACTGCCTGCAAAGTCATTGCCTGATAAGGCAGCGAGGCAGCAAGTCAGCTGCTTAGGTTTATGGATGCAGCCAATGTATTACAAAGCATAATTAATGCCTTAAAACTACTTTTATAATGCATTATACATAAAGGCTTTAAGTAAAGTGTTACCCAATATTTTTTAACAGTTGCATTCTGTCGAAGTATGCAAAAAATCTGGAAGTAGTTTTAGATGTCTGTATCTGCGATACATAAAATGTTAGCTATGAAATTAGCCTTAGCAGGAGAAAGAGTCTGCCATTTTTTTCCATTAATGTTTAAAATGTAAATTCCACCACCATCATTTTCATGAATGGTGATTTCAGATGTGGTGGAAATTATGGTTCAGTGAATTTGCTGTGATTCATATTGTTGGATGGACATTGTTAGAAGACAAATTAAATCAAGTAGCAAGTACAAAAAGGGTTTCATTTTTAAAAATTCACTGCACCCAAAGTACCCATAGTTGAAGAAACAGCCACATGCATTTTATGAACCTGAGCCGAACTGTATTAATGTGATAAATTCAGAGTCTTTCTGTCACACAGTGGATTCCTCAAGCATTCATGTGACTCTACAGATGTCTCCAAAATCACATACTGAATATATGAACAAACGAACAGTTTTGCTCACTGCTTCTTCTCTGCTTTCACTGCTCTTCACTGCTTTTAAAATACAACAGTCTTTTCTGGCATTAGCATTTCTGTAAAAAGAACCTTCTGCACACAGTATCTCCTGAGACAATCTTCAACGAATCAAACAGAGGACAATGTGTCACCTCCAATTGTGATGAAAAATAAAATAAAAATTCACAGGGGGTTTCTAAAATTGAAAAGTTCAGCAGAGGCGAGCACGGATTAATTCGGCAGCTCCCCCTGAGAGGCTCGCATTGTGGGACTAAACAGATATGATACCAGGACTCATTTTGTTCTGCCGAGGGTTTAATTGTTACCTTTGCAGTCTGCATATGTATTAGGTGCGGCTGAGCAGAACCAATAAATTCAGCGCTCGGTCATTACCACTCTTTGTGTAAAGCGCTTATGCTGACTTCTGCATTAATAAATCTCACTGCTCGCCATAAAGCTCAGGTGTTTTGGATAAGGACTCCAATGACACAGGAGGAGGAACCAATGCAAATTGAATCAAGAGCATAAGCTGTAGAAGCAGCTAATGGCTTTGGCTACACTGTGGGGCGAGACACGCAGTTCAAAAAGAATCATTTGAGCACCTGCTGCTACTCTGAAACCGATGACATGCGTTTTTCACTAAAGGCAAAATTAGAGAGCATCATAATAGGGCCTTACAGGGAAAAAAGGCCTGTCGTCTTCTCTTACATAACAGCCTAAGCAAGATAAGTCACCATTAGTTTCACATAATAATTGAACTCTTCACACTTTCAGAGCAGAAAATGCAGGAAAAACAATATTTTATCTTGTTGCAAGCCTCGTCCCTGGGGAAAGACTGGGGCTGAGGAAGAGTGATGGATTAAAAATGAACAAATATGCAATTTTGAAATTTCATTTTTGGCTCGCTGGAATCAATATATAATCAAGACATGATGTGCACACATTAGATTTCTTCAACTGGACAGAAAACTCCACTGGACCACAAAAATTCAATTCCACTCAATAATGAACAGAGATTCATAGAAGTAAAGATCTAAACGCAAGGACTTCAAGTAATCTGCCATAAAATAAAGGTCACTCATGGCCCTCCTGACACTGTTGAATACAGATAAAAGAGAGGAATAAACCTAGTTAAAGCTGGTATATGGATAATGAAGTACTTAATGTGTTGGGCTAACCTTAAACTCCTCCAGAGACGAGTAGATCTTTCCTCGAAATTCACAGTAGTTTTTCTTCTCTTTGCACTGCGGGCAGCACTGGCTGGTGTCGACGCGCAGGCAACGAGGGTGAAGTTTTGGACACTCTGGTTGGGCGCACAAAGGACCCTCATCTGTGCACAGACATGGGCAGGTGGAGGGTCCCGGGGTGAATTTCTCCCCAATGGCAAACACAAACCCCGTTTCATCCATGCAGCCTTTCCCCCTATAATCGGGGTACGCATACTCATCAATCGCATCCAGAGAGATGTTGGCCTCTTCCGTTGGTGCCTCTTCAGTTTGCTTGAGCGATTCTTGCTCACCCCAGGCTTCGAGGGTCTTTTCTTGAAGTTTGGACCCTCGTCTCAATGAACTCAAGTTGGGTCTGGTCCTGCCTGAACTGGATTTGTTCCCACCCTTGATCCCCTCCAGTTCAAGATTACTCAGCTCCTCCAGACGCTGCTTTGCACCGGGGCTCAGCGCACCCTCCTTGGTCTCGGTCAGAACGCGCTCCAAGCGCTCTTTCTCCCCACCCTCTGGCACCGACACAATGGGATTGCCCCGTGCGCTCGTATACAAGAGCCAGCTAACAAAGATAAGTCCTGTTGTCATGGCAACCGAGTGAAGCATCTCGCTCCTCTCCACCAGCATAAAATGATGGGACTGCACCTGGACTCACATTACAATCCTCAAATTGCAGGTAGAGTCTAGTACAGCAGAAGCATCGTCACATCTGTAAAAGAAACAAACTGCAGAGTTCAGCACCATGGACAGGGGCAATGTAATGTTATGGTGCATTCAGTTCCTCCTGGGAAGTTTGTATTTATGAGTTTGGAAGTTGTAATTATGACGTGTTCAAGTCACTTTGGTTGGATCAATATGGTAGTATATTGATCCAATATGATGTGTTATTGCTTTTTATGTTTTTATTTGATTTATGAAGCTGCTGCTAATTGAATCGCCATATATCCTATTGTAATTGTACAATACTGTCATATTTTGTGCAAACAAATTTTCAACAAATTTTACGTCAATACAGATGCTGCACCCTTTGCATCCAACATATTTTCTCAATGACATGTCCCCAACTTCAAAATTGGGGGCTTAAAGAAAGTTCAGAGTTTTCCACATGTAATTAAAAATGTGTGATTTTGTTCATGGTCGTTCAACTCATAAATTCAATCTTTCAGACACGTCTTGAATGCATCATCAGTCAGAGAAGTTGGCTACAGCAGCTATCAAACAACTGACCCAAAATCAATTCTCTTAAGGAGTGCAACACTAGAAACAGTGATCTACAACACTCCTTTAAAAACCCCTTCAATGATTCTTCAGTCAAGCGGCAATCGTGCAGGCTGTAACTGATTCTGTGCTTCTGTAGATTTAATGAAAATATAATACGTAAATGGTATTTAACAGAAGTTTTGATTTATTTAACCAAAGTTGAACAGAATATAGAGCAGACTGAAATAATAGCTACTCATTTTTACTAACAACCAATGAGCAAAATCATTCACTGATTGCAATAAATTGACCAAATTTGAATAAGACATCTTGAATTGACCACGATTTGAATAAGCCACCATGAATTTGCAAGCATCACCTGTCTAAATGTTGCTTTTGCTCACAATCCAGTTTTCAACAATAGTTTTGTGGTTCAGACCCATTTACTGTCTTCCCGGTATGCACTAGAGTATGAATAATTATGATTGTGTGACTGTTTAAATTGCTGTTGTTTTTTATTTCTTTATTTTTATGAATTTATATTTTTGTCATGTTTAGTAATCTGTTGCCAGGATGGATTTGTTTCACTAATGAACAAATATTTGATTGTTACCCTTGTCATGTTTCATGTAACAAGTGTTGTCGTCTGTGAGGTCTTTAACATATTAAATTAATGCTTTTTATTTTATGAGTGTTTGCGTAGTGAGTGTTTATGTGATGTGGTCAACAGACAACAAAGGTTTTGCTCTTAGTCACTCATACGTTTCTCATAAATAAATGAGATGGATAATATATGTAAAATATAAAGAAATCTTCAGTTATGTAATCTAAATAAATTATTGTTACAATTACAAATGGTTATTTAGTACTAATAAGATTTATATTTGTTTTAATTCCTATTAACTGTATTTGTTTAACATAATTAATTGTTTTATTTGATCTATTTGCAGAATTACTCACATTTAAGGAGCTGATTTGAGAGATATGTAATTTGTTGCCATAATTTTAAGTAAATGTAATGTTGACAGAATATTTCCTAAAATAGAAAATAACCAAAAAATATATAATTAATTAAATCATTTGTTTTCTCTTTTTTTTTGAAGAGCTATACAACTTTCCCATGCTGGAAACATGTGAAGGCTGACTGCCTCGGGTCTAATCACATACCGACAGCAATCTTCCAATCACACCTCCACGCATCAATTTTCACGGGGATGATGGACACGAAAGTAAATTGCCTCAAGGGAACTTGAGTCACAAGTACTTTAATAACTCCTCTATTCTCCATCCAGCTAAGTGCAATCAGTTCACTTCAATTGACTCTGTTAAATGACACAAAGAGGTTAATCGTGAAATAGATTTAGATGGGGGGAAAAAGGGATCGTGGAAAAAATATTTAAGCAACATCACACAAGTATGATTGCTGTTGTGCTGAATATCAGCATGGCTTTTATTATGCTATCGGCACAAGGCTGCAGGTTATCACAGCTGTGCTATAATATTAAAGTGACAATGAAACGGAAGTAGCGACATATCTTTTCTTATGTATTGTGATGTATATCCGAGTGTAGCGGACTATCGAAAAACAAACAAACTTGATTCTGTCTGCCAGTTCTTGATTGGATGTTAAAATGTGGGCATCGAGCTCAAAAGTGGAGGTAGATACATATGAGCTTGTGGGGTGAAATTATTGTTGATTCCGCTGTAAGGAAATAACAAGTAGAACAACAAAGTGCAGTAAACGGTAAAACTGTATGCACTACAAACCAGTTTGTTCATAATATAAAAATAATATGGTTAAGAGACACCAGTCTGCAATATCAAGCAGCAAAATGAGCTGTTTTGTACAGCTAAAAATAGCTGGAAGCCAATGACACCAGACACAACATGAATTTTCATTGCATAAACAGCCTGTCTGAACCACAGAAATTAATCTTATTCTAAATTTACATTGTGTTCATACAGTTCTACAATTCAGTTAGCCTATACACTTATAAGTAGACGAATTAAAATCAATTAACTTATGTTTTAGTCAAAAATCGGTCAGTTAATTAGTACATTTCTTTTCTGTCAACTAAAATAGTACCACAAGAACCCAAACCTCAAAGAGAACTGAAAACCGGACTAGAACCGGAGTGTAAAGTGGATCGGAGCACTCAAAGCGCTCAGTCGGCTCCAACTCCAATCCACTCCGGGTTTCTCACTCACGAGTCGCGAGAGAAACCCGATCAGAGCGATCGCGAAGCCTGAGAAAAAAAAATCACCAAAACCTAACTTCGGAAAACTCAATCCCCGCAACAGGTAGAATGACACAACCGCGCCTGGATTGGCGAAACACCCAGGCTTAAAAAAAAAAAAAAAAAAATTTTGTTTTTTTTGTTTTTTTTGTTTATCTATTTAAAAACCCCCGTCGCTCGCTCCTCGTTCCACTTTGTCCGCCACATAGCCTACCGTAGTCCGAAGGCCGTGAACACAAACAAGCTTAGTGATACAAACAGTGAAACGTCCCAGTTATTTTATACGACGCTCGGCCAAGCATTTTATAAGACCGAAACGGTACAACTGTGTTACTGTTAAACAACGAACAGCTTAATGAGGGAAAAAATATCGAGGAGGGGGAAAAGCTGAGTGGAAAAATATGACATCAAACAAGATGTACAATAACTCATGAAATGTGAAACACTCAATCTCAGACGAAAATTAGATCATTAACTGTTCATCTAAACTCGCATTTAAGCATAAAAAAGCCATGCATGCAGCTATCCCAACTCCAGTCCCTGTGGGCTGTGGAGCCTGTTGATGCAATGCACAGGTGCTCTTCACAGCATCATTCACATCCACTCGAAAATCACATCTTCAGCCTCACATTTAACCATAGAAAGTGTGACATCTCAGGTGCAAAATCACTTTAATAACTGAGGCAATCGTTTGGAGTTGAAGCTGAGAAGGAGAAAAAGAGGCGTAGATAATGATGCGACACAAAGCAGATGCAAAACCACTGTCTGCGCTGTAATAGAAGCTATTATCCTTAATATTCACATCACCCACATAAGCTAATCAACGTAACGTAACCCAAGGAAAAAGCCTTTACGGAAACCAAACCTAGCGAGTAGTCTATCCATATCACACTTAACTCTGCGCCGGTGAATATCGGTTCTGTTCATACACGTATCGGTCATGCAGAACAGTATATGGACTCTTCTTAAACGTTTAACTGTAACTTTACAATGCCATTTAGAGGCGTTAAAACAGACTAGACGTCCATACCTGCATCTTTCCGTCGGTGTGGTTGATGTGTTGTGTAGATAGTTGTCACACAGTTGATATCGAGGCTCGCTCATCAGTCTCCGCACACTCCACATCACCTCACAACTGCACTCAGGACATTTAGTTTTAATGGTGCCACTAACGAGGACGTCGGGGCTGTTAATGTTTCCTCAGCTCTCGCCGGGGAACTGAAAGAAAGGAGTGGACTCTTCAGCATCAGTGACAAAAAACATAAACCGGCAGACTTACGTCACATGGTGAGGAGTTTAATGAAAACCTTTCTGACCACCAGGTGGCACATTCCCGTGCTGGACTCACACAATTCACTGTGTGATTAATCATTCGTTCACGTTGTTTTGACAGAGCCTATCCATTCTCAGATCCGTCTTGAGATGTGCGATGAGCGTGTCTGTTTTCCAGAGTGCTGTGTTTGCCTTGATCACGAGATTCTGAGGACAAAGAGGCATTTGAATGTGCAGGTATAAAACTGATGAAAATGCACCTGAGGATTGAACTTTTCTGCCACGATTATGAATAGTGAAATCAGAACACACGCATATATGGAGTTTTTCTGTGTATGTGATGATATTTGTTAAGCCTTTATCATAACTCTACACTTAAAGGCACAATATGTAAGATTTTTTGTTATTAAAATATCCAAAAACCACTAGAACAGTGTTATATATTTTGCTGACTTGTGTACTTACAATATCCCAAATGTTTCGAAGAATGTTTAAATCCAGAGAAATGAGCAGTTTTAACTAGTGACACGGACCGTGTCTATAGTGTCATTGTGTCGCCTGCCAATGACGTCATAACCCCTCGATTTCCGGTTTTGTTTTGTAGAAAACATGGAAACACCAAAGATGCTTTAATATGTTATGCGTTTTAATAGAC